GGGACAGGACTTTGTCACACTGCTCTTTAGCAGCGTCCACTGAAACGTGACAGCCTGTTTATCAAGAGCTCCTTCCTATCAGATCCTCAGGAGTTTGTCCGCAGGAAAAAAACCCAAAAGAAAACACGTTGTCCCCAGGAAGTCAGGTTCCTTATTACAGCCAATAAAATAGTGAGCTTTATTGTAGTTTCGAGGCTACACATTAATCCACTTCGCTGAATCCTCCACAGCCCATCATGTGATTACTTTAGTCATTACCAGTAGTGCAGTCATAATTACTCTGTAGTCTGTCAGGGTATGGTGACAGGGGAAAATGTGGCATCATGATTTATGCAAAAGGGCCCAATTCCAGTCTCAACCAGAAAAGGAGATTAACCCCCCCACAAAAAAAAAAGTCACGATCACATGATTTTATATTAAAAAAAGAAACGCTGCACTCGCCTTGTTTCGTGAGCAAGCATGAAAGTGCACACGCGTGAAAGCTTAGGATTGCGAATGCATGTCCGAGTTCGCGTGTGTGCGTCTGCGTTGCGGGCATGTGTGTGTTGCGAGCCGCGTCCATGGAGACGTCTGTGTGCGTGTGTCGGCTGCATGATTCACAGTGTCACAACTGTGAGCAGAAAGGACTGGACATCCTGAGCGGAAACCACAGCGATCGAAGCTGCGTTTCCCTGCGACATCCCAACCTAACACTCTCACAAAGAGTCACTTGACTGGACCCGCATATAGGAAGTGAAAGAGGAAGCCCCACTCGTCCATCCTGTCCTCCAGCCCGGTCTCTTCTCTGCCGCTTCACGTGAAACGCGCTTGAAGGCCCGCCGCAGAGGGTGTGAGAGTCTTACGGTTGCAAAACAAGAGTGGAAGAACCGGCTGAGGCTGGAAACGGTTTGCTGCCGAGGGTCAAATGTCTGGTCAGTTGACTTTTAGCCACACAAAGAGAGAGGCAGAGAGAGTGAGGGGTCAGTGACTATCATTACTGTGAAAACAGAATGTGGGGATTTGAACATCAAATGGTAAATGGACTTATGTGGCCCTTCATCAAGTACAGAAGACCACAAACGCTTCACACTACAGTCAGTCATTCACTTGCTGACGGTGGCAAGATATCTCTGTGCTCTGACAGAGGCCAGACTGCCATGCGCTGGCGCCACCAGGGCCTCTGACCATCAACAGCAGGCAAGACGGGTGACATGCTGAACCCCAAGGACACAGCGGCAAACCGACTGAGTCGGGCAACCCATCGATTGCTGGGCAAACTCCTACCGCCATCGCCACCGTCATCGGTGACGGCTGCTCAGCTCATCACACAACTCTGATTTCAAGCAGAGTTAAGTTTTGCTCAAGGACACAATGACAGAGGTGGATGTAGTGGCGACTGAACCAGCAACTCCCAGAGTTCAAGACAAATTTCTGCCATCTACCATTTTTGATATAGACGGTCGTCAACATCAAATAAGTCATTTATGTGTGACAGTCAAGACCATTGAGCTACATGGGCTGTTTGATCCGAAACATTGATACTATATATATTATCTCAAAGTCAGTATTGGTATCGGATATTTTGTTTGGATTCCGTCTTGAAATTTCATTTTATTTTTGAATTGTGATTTCTAAACTCTAAAAAAAGATCTTGCTTTGAATTGTTCTGAAGACTCTTTTCACACTTTAAGAAGCAATACACACGAATCTGTTTTGTTTTTATGTTGTTTCTGTTTATCATGTAAAAATGTGACTCTAAACCAATGAAAATCTCTGCCAGATTGAGTTTTACAAAAATAATTCTAAGGGAAAAAAACCCTGCAAGATCACATCAAGGTCAAAAGTTTGATGATACATCAAACGTAAATGATAAGTATCGGTATCGGCGATGCTGGCCCTATCTAACTGGAATCGGATCGATACTGAAACAAGCTGTATCGCACAGCTCCAGTCCAAACCCCCAGTGTTGAGGGGGCTGATAACGCAGCCAGAGGGAGTGAGGGGTGGTTGGCTGTGGGGTTGTTTGGCCCGGCTTTAACCCTGGTGGCTCGTGGCCTCTGGCTGTGTTCATTGGTGTTAGTGTGTGCAGCCTGGCAGCCTGCATTCCTCTGCCTCTCCCCACACAATGGTGAGTATCTGCAGCATTCCTCTGTCTGTGTCCGCTGTCTGAGACGCGGCCGGGCCTCGGCGGACCGCTGGCACCACGCTCTGCTCAAAACTGAACTTTCCGGCCAGCACGCAAAAGTCGTGTGCGGCTGAAATCTAACACTGAATATCCCCCTAAACACACCGTCCGCAGTAAGAAACCTGAGCACTTTGCCATCATGCTGGGAGGATGCTGTTCTCTGTCATGGATATGGAAGCTGGTCAGAGTGCATTGGAAAATGTAGGTAAATGCAGGGCAGATATGGAAGAAAGCCACTTAGAGTCATGAGTCTGGTAAATGCATGCCTTAGAACGGCCCAGTCAAAGACTCGACCTAAACCTGGATGAGATTCCTTGTAAAGTCTCGAAGCACCGAAGTTACGTCGAACCAGAATGAACTTGAGCCATTTTGTTTCTGCTGTCGTGCAAAGCCGGTGAAGACATACCCTACAAGACCTGCAGTTGTAATGGAGGGGGCCGATTTCGAATGCTCACCACACTTTTCGCATTTTTTAACCTCAAAAAGGTTTTTAAAGCCACCTATGATCTCCTTCCACTTCACAATTACGTGCCAAAGTGTCTTGGTCAACTTCAACGGCGAAATCCCGGGAAGTTGGTGCTTAAGGGACTGAAATGCGTAAGAGTCGAAGGGGTTTGAACACTTTTGAGAACCACTGTCGTGTCGCCTTGTTTTGGTGCAGTTCTTTCCCCTCCTCTCTTTGTCTCGTCCCTCTCTGCAGAAGCATGTTTATCTCCCCTGTTCTCCAGTCGCCTTTCTCTTGTTCTGATGCCACGGCTGTGCAGACACCTATCCCTCCTGCTGACTCAGTAGCCAGCCTCAGGCACTGTGGGCTCGGGGTGTTGGTGGCAGCGAGGCTGGGAGGGAGGGATGGAGGGATGGAGAGAAGAGAGGAAGAGAGGGAGGGGAGAGCGAGGCTCCCACATCAGGTCCCAACAGCCTATCACGTGCGAGAGAAAAGAGCTGGCTAATCGTTTCTACAATGGCAAACTGTCACACAGCACCACAAAACCGCTCTGCTCGCCAACACTTCTACAGTATTATTCCACTGTTCCTTAGAAAGCCCCATGTGATGCATTCGAGTGCGCAAGCACCCGATGGGGAGGGAGTGTGGGGGAAACGGCGCTCAAAAAACCGCAGAAATACACCAAAGTATGTGATTTTGTGCAGAGGCTTGCAAATCAGTTTTGATTTTTCTCCACATTCCAAACGTGAAATCTGTCACTCTTAGGCACAATTGAACAGATTTGAAAAGCAATGATGTAATTCACAATCAACCGGACAAAATTCAGTTCACGGCCTGTCAGCAAACAGCTGCCTGAGTGGCTTTGCCGGCCATTAATAAGGTCTGAAAGAGGCAGCGGACTTCTATACGCAGGTTTATGAACTTTCCACTGGTCACGTCAAGATAAAGTTTCCTGGTGTGTTTTTTTTTTTTGCAACGTCACAGCGAGCAGACCTTTGCGGATCAGGCCGGTTTGTTTTTTTTTGTTTTTTTCTAGAAAAGTTGCTTATGCAGAGCTGCTTTCCGTCGAGCGGTGAGATGAGCGAAGCGCCGTCCGTGAGGGTCACGCGTGTTCCAGCAAATTCCTGTTAACTGAGCCACCTCGCTCCCGGCTGGGCTCTCGCTGACAGGAGAGGAGTTACAAAGTGTCCTGTGACGGCAAAAAAAAAACAAACCCAAAACAAAACAAAAAAAAAGAAAGAAAGAAAGAAAGCAGGAAAAAAAACACTCTGAGATTCTCATAAAGGAGGCTATAAACTCCCTTTTACAATGTGACCACTTATCAACCATTATCACTCTGGCCTTGGGACTATTACGGTCATCCAAATATTGTTGTAGTGTTGAACTGGGAATGATCTTCAGTCCGGAACTTTGCTGTTAAGTTTTCACACACACACACACGCACACACACACACACACACGTTAAAAAAAGAGAGAGAGAAAAACAACAAAACGACGTATGGAGAAAATTCCTCCAGAGCAGGGCCAGCTGCGCCGTGTGCTGCTTGTTTCTCTCTTCCTCTGGTGATGAATGCAGAGGTGATGTGTTTGTCTGAGGAAGAGAGTCGAGGGGAAGCCTGATTTCCACTCTGTTTTATCTGTGCCCTGCAGCCCCCCCTGCCCGATACCTTTCACAGGCCCCGGGGGTCCCACAGGAAGCAGCACTCCGCAGAGGGCAAAGGTCAGGCAATGACCGTTCACCGATGCACAACGCCAAGCGGGTCCGCCGAACCGCTTTGGCTCGAAAAATAAAAACTAAGAAGTGAGTCTCGGTGCAGGGGATTATTTTAAAGCGGCAGAACATTGAGGAAGCGACGTCTGCGCCTGCACACATCTGTTTCCTTTTCGTGTTTACGCGCGTCGTGCTGCTGCAAGCTCGTCTGTGCAGAATGGCTGTAACCTTCGCTTTCTTCTTCTTTGCTCTAGTCCAATTTGACATGATGAATATCACTGAGACAAAAGTGCTCGACGAGGTTCCCGTAAATGTGAAGCGTCATCTGGATCAATCGGCCAGAGCTTGAAAAGAACCGATCAGCCTCCCTCTTCGCCGGACGGCGGATGAAAACACTGGAAAATCAGATTTTCAGCCATGTTTGCTGAAGGCATCGGTGTTCAAACCTCCCCTACTTGCAGTCCATAAACACTATCGTCTTTAATTGAACCTTTAATAAAAAGATTAGAGGGGTAAAGATTTGATGCATGAATGGAGATAATCTTGTGACAACAACAACAAAAAAAAACTAAAATTAAATGGAACTGGCAGCTTTATTGCACCAAAACTAGAAACTCCCACCAGTTTTGGCCCATCGACGCATCAATGAAAAACATGCTCTTTGATTAACTGTACTGGGGTTTATTAAAATCAGCATAAATGAGAAATAATCTCGCAACTTATTCGTTTTTTATGCTATCAAAAAGGACTCCATTACATGTTTTTAAATGAGTATTAGTTCCTAGGGGAAAATAATCAATAACCAACATCTGAAACACTAAAAAAAAACTACATCCTGCATCATTTCTGCTCCATAAAACATCGGCTCGCAGCTTCTCTTTTCTTTCACGCACTTTTTGAGTGGGAATAAAACTTACTCGGTCGTGTTGTGGCAGCAATATCGGCAGATCGGACCTCAAAGGAAAACTGGACGTCGGTATCGGCAAAAAGAATAAAACAAACACCAAACAGTCGGTGCATCTCTGTGGCAAACTAATCTGACAAGGCGACAAAGATGAGGAAGAGTGTGAGGTGATGTTGCACGGTAGCGATGGTTAAGAGCAGGAAAATGATTTGTCTGCAGATAAGACTCAAAGTTAAACTGTCAGATTAGGTTTATTGATCCAAATAAATGAAAAAGACAAAAAAAAAAAAAACCCAAAACAAAACAACAAATAAAAAAAAACAGGTATTAGATGGAGAAAAAAACCCTACATATATATATTTTGCATAATTAGATATTTTTTGGAAGAAAGGCTGATACTGTCCAGCAGAATCCAATTCGCAGAGTATGACTTGTTTCAGTAATTCATTCTCTCCCACCCAAACAAACCCCCCTGAACCCCAACCCCCCAAAATAAAACAAGCAAAAACACAAACCATGATTTGAGCAATAAAAAGAAAAGCAGAGAGAGAGAGAGAAAAAAATCACCTCAATAAAAATGAACCATTAACTAAATGATTACATGGATGCTAATAAAAGCAAATCTGATTTCAAGTATTTCCTTTCAGACAAAATACAGATAAGCTATGGCAGTATAAAATAAAAACATCTCATACATGACCAGCATGCATGCATCACTGCAACCCCCCCCCCCCCCCCCATACCTCCCCCCCACTCATTCTCATTAGTTTGTGTTGTTTTAAACTATTATTTCAGTCACTGCGTCTCAATGATGAGGATGAATTCTGTTGCTGTTGTTGTTTTAAATGACTAACTCACATTAAATACTCTGGTGAGGAAGGGTTGTCGCTGGTGGAGCCGGTTTCGTGGAAGCAGTTCGCACCGGACAGCTTCTCGCATTTGAGTTTGTACGCGTCCCTCTCCCGGACCAGCCTGCTCAGTTCGTGCTTCAGCTGCTCCACCTGCGTCACCAGGCTCGTCTTCTCGTGCTCCAGGATGTGCTTCTGCTGCACGCGCTTGAAGCGGCACGACTGCGCGTAGCCCCGGTTCTTCAGGGTCCGGCGCTTCTGCTTCAGCCGCATCACCTCCTCCTTGCTCAGGCCCCGCAGTAGCCGGTTGAGCTCCCGGACGGACATGGAGACCAGCTGCTCGTCCGAGAAGTGCGTCTCCGCGTTGGACCGCCGGTCGTGGCGGCCGTGCGGCGGCTGGAGCTGGTGGTGGTGGTGGGCCCCGAGGACCTGCTGGGCCTCCGGCGACTCCGGGGACTCGCTCCCCATTTCGTCTTTCAGATAGGCGTCCGGGCAATGGCTGCCCGGGATGCCCTGCAGGTCGGGGTGACCCGGGAGGCCCGGGTAGTGCTGGACGGGGTCGCTCAGGTGGCCGTAGCCGTCGTAGTCCGGCTGGTAGGACTGCGGGTGGTGGCCGTGGGGCGCAGACGGGTGTCCCTGCTGCGTCGTGGCCCCTATTAGGGCCTCCATCGCGTCCTCGGGCGTCAGGCCGAAGGCTTGGGGGTACATCTGGTGAGGGTACCCGCCGTTGTTGTTGGGTATCCAGAACTGGTCGCTCCCGGGGTTGGTTCTCTGCTCGTTCGGGTTGACGTTTGGCGACGAGGGGACCGAGTTGCAAGGCGTGCTGCCCGGGGTGGAGGAGACGGAGTCCGGTCTCTGCAGCTGGCCGCACGGCCCGATGAAGGAGCGCTCAAGGCTCTGCATGGTCTCCTTCTTGACGCCGAACTTCATGAAGTCAAAGTCGTTGGCGAAATCCATGGGGAGTATTCTGCAGACCCCCCACACCACCACCACGACCACCACTCCAAGTCAGGATGTGATATGGAACAAGGGGGCCTCGTCACGCAGCTCCAAGCGTATTTCATGCAGTGAGGAGGAAAAAAAAGGAGGGGGGGGGGGACTTCACTTGCAAAAAAGAAAAAGGGAAAGTACCTCCAAACTTTAAAATCGATATTTTTTGAAAAAAGTTAAAAAAAAAAAAAAGTAAAAAAACAAAAACAAACAAACAACAAAAAAAACCAGTATCTCCCAAACCTAATGAGCGCTGCTTGCCCGGGTGGAGGAACCCCGGATCTGAGAGTTGTGAGGACTCCTGAACGCTGGACGCACCTCTGTGAGCTCAGGAGAAGCGCACTTTCTTCATAAAGCTGAACTGACACGAAGTCACGCCTTCCACACTTACACCTCCACGCTGCTCTCCAATGGAAACATGCTGAACTGGCTGATTTGCATAAAAGCTGTTCCGCGTCTCCCTCTCCTACAGTCCACGGGAGAAGCTTTTTTTTTTTTTAAACCGAACACCAGTATGTAAAGATCATTGTTCTACCTATTTTAATTGAGATTTTCTCCTGACTCATAGTGGTGTGTGCTGTCAGCCTGAATGTTTAGAGAGCAGAGGGGCATTTATCAATCCCTCACCACTGAATGAATCTGATCTAAATTGGGTCTGAAATACCATATTTTTTTTCACATAACGTATTTATTTATTTGGTTATTTATTTTTCATTAGATAAATAAATATATAAAAATAGACACAAAAAAGAGGACAGGGAGTCAGGTCATTGAAAACAACACTGGTTCATGTAGTCTTCCCGAGTTGTACTTTTGTGAATACTGACATCTTGTGGACAAAAGTTCACACTGCAGGCGCAAGATAAGGGATTTACCAAACTCAGAACTGTGACGTGCCGAGACCATGTTCATTGCAGCCTGTTTTTAAATTACCAATGAAACACTGCTGTTTGTAGATCAAGCAAAAAACAAAACAAAACAAAAACAAAACAACAACAAAAAAAAAAACAATATGGCAAACATAATACTGACAAAATAAACCCTGGCAATAAGAATATTGACAATATTTTGCACGAGCCTTCTCAGAAACTCTATTAGCCGTTTCTAGTAAAGTTGCTGATTTTATTTTTTTATTTTTTATTGTTTTGAGACACATTCCTGAGGTGGACAAAAAAGGACATGGTTACAAAAGTTTTCGGTTTTGCACGTTTGTCGTCTTCCTGTTTGCAAGACAACAAGCTCAGCCAGGTTGAATAGATAAAGTTTGTGACCATCAGCGTTCAGGTTTTACTACTAATTCTCAATGTATTGTTGGTTGGGACTTTGACTGGGACTCTTAATCACACACAAATGCCTTGTTTTAAACTGTTTCACTGTAGTTCTGGCTGTGGGCTGATTCTCCTGTGACCACCACCATGTCCCACAGTGGCAAAATAGTAAAGTGAAGGCTGGTGGTCTGCCAAGTTTATAACACACTGGGGGAAACCCTGATGTTGAAAACTAAACAGGCATTGTTTTGTTCGCAGGTTTTCTAGCCACAAGCTAATTTGCAAACTCAGTCCTTGGTTGGAACTTTTGGTTTTAAAAGACTTTTAATTAATATATTCCCCTCACACACACATACGTTGAATTACTGTTTGTATTAAGAGAAAAAACACGCCAATGCATATTCGTGAATACTAATTGTCCTCAACAAAATAAGCAAGACTTCTAACATTTTGCTTCATGCCAAGTTTTCTATGTTCTTGACTATTCGGCGTCTTGACGTCAAATTAAGCATTGGATCTTCTTCACCTCTTCCAGAGTCACCATGGAGATCTTAGCTGCTTCTCTTATCTAATGTCACCTGTCAGTTTAGGTGGAAGGGCGTGTCTAGGAGCCGTACTCCTTCCATTGTCAGATGATGGGGATAGTGTTTTCCTTTACACTACCACAGCTTTAAACTTCTGCACTATGTCCGCCCTGGCATGTCAGCAATGTTCCTTGGCATTCATGATGCTGTTTATTCACTAATGTCCTCCATCCGGCCTTCACAGAAAGCCCAGAAACAGACGAAAACCTGAGCGATTACACACAAAGTGCCAACATGTATTCCGATTGCAAAGGATCTCAAAGGGTTACGGCGCGCGCCCTGGGGTGACCCTCTGTCAACGCGCACTACCAGTGAAAATCTCACTGACAAAACCTAAAGGACTCAAGCCAAAACCAATAGAAATTACTGTAAAAGAATGGCCTGGCATTGTTTTAGCTAGTTTGATTTTCTGGGAATTGAGGAAAAAGAGGAGACAGTGTGACTGAGTAAGGATTTCTCAGGGACACATACCAGGACACGTGCCAAGAGACCCGAGTGATTGTATAAGTTATGGGAAACATAGAACTATAAAAGCCAAACAGTATATGTAATAATTACTGTGCGTGAAAACATGAAGCCCTCTGAAAATGTATTCCGAGCACGCAGAGCAAACCACCAATTCCTAATATATCCATCCCCCTTTTGCACATTTTGTCACATTAGAACCACAAAACTTAGTGGAATTTTTTAGGTTTTATACAAATGAGCGACACAAAGTGGCACAAAATTATGGAGGAAAATGATACATGGTTCCAATTTCTTTTCCCAAAAAGAATGTGGGATGCATTTATGTTCACACCTCTGTACTACAATACCACCAAATCAAATCGAGTACACGCAACTGCCTTCAAAATCGGTAAATAAAATCACTTTGTGAAATGTCTCCTCAGTATTAATGGGGCTTTTCTGAGAAGGTTCCAAACCGAGCAAGACTTTGGCCCAAACTAAACAGAAGCAACCAAGAGACCCACAGGACACTTATGAGTTTTGCGCTCCACAAATCTGTTCTTTATGGGAAGTCACATTCATAAGAAAGCCAGGGAAAGTCTTGTTTGCCACAAAAGAGGCAAGGGTCACAGCAAACATGTGGAAGAAGGCGCTCTGGTCAGATAACACCGAAATGTATCGTGCTGGCCTACATGCAAAACGCCACATGTAGCGGAAAACTATCAGTTCACATCACCCTGAATGAAAGAGGCCCTTAAAACATCACGGAGTAGAGCTGTCCCAGTTTTCAGCAGGGACAAAGAAGGTGATCTGAGTTGATGAGAAAGACAAGTTAAGGAGAATACCAGGGCAAAACAGGAAGAAAACTCGTAAAAAGTTGCATTTGGTCCAGAGACCTAATTTCTATGCAGACACACAAATGCTCACATATTCGTGACGCGTTTTGATTAAACTAATTTATCTTCAGTGTAATTCCAGTACCAAGAAATCAACTTTACACCAGGTGAGTCTCTCTCACCTGAGAATGTGAACCTGTACTGGGCTGATTCTACCTTCAGATAATTGTAACAATCCTCCTGTAGAAGATTCATAAGTTAGAACTCAAAAGTCTGAAACAGGAACAGATGTGTAAAAATAGCCTGTGTGTTTCACTCAGGAGAGAGATTCATTTGATGTATCAAAGAGTGACATCATCAAAGAGTGATGTCATCACTGCTGATGTCATTGTTACCAGTGGAACTGAACATTCTACTGGTTCATTCACATCAAATACGTTTTGAGCATCAGGAAAGTCTGGTTTACATTCAAAGTCTATGTGGAGTGTTGGATGCGCTTGATGTGTCAAACGCTCCAAACGGTTCAAATCGCGCCGCGCTAGACGCTCGAAGCGTCTCCATATAGACATTTAATGCAAACCAGACGCACCTGACGCTCAAAACGCATTTGGTGTGAATGCACCTTTATATGTCCAGTGTCACTTTAGGTCAGTGTTTCTCAATCCCAGTCCTCAGGCCCCCCCTGCTCTGCATGTTTTAGATGTGTCTCTATTTCAGAACAGCTGATCCAAATGATTGCATGACCTCTTCTGCAGTCATCAAGTACTGCAGAAGCCTGTTAATCACACACAGATTCAATCCAGGTGTGTGGCAGAAGGAGATCACCTAAAACATGCAGGCAGGGGATCCACCTGAGGAGGGCATTGAGAAACACTGCATTAGTTCCATCATATTAGGACCAAAGCCTGGTCCTAATATGATGGACTCATTGATTTGGGTCAGGGGTACATTTAGAGGTAAGATCCAAATTAAGTTTTAGTTCATGTTAGGGTTAGGAATAGACTAGTATTGGTTAGGGTTAGGGAAAATATGTGGGTTGGGCAAAATTGCAGCTACTAAAATGAAGGGAAATCAATTCAAAGTTCTAATATGGGTTGAAATAGTTTTGACAAACCTGTTTTATAAATCATTCTATAAATAATCAGTGATGATATGTTGGGATGTATTTCTGCCAATTGTATAGCTGCAGTAGACTAATAGTCTAATGTGTTGAATGTGCTGAGACACATTCAACACATTAGAAACCAATCAGAACCAAAAGTTTGTCTTTGGTTCTGATTGGTCTTTTCTGGACAGTAGCAGAGCCAGAGAACTTTTCACAGATTCTCTGGATCATATTCTACTGTCAGACACTTTTAACAAATATTCATTCATCCATCATCTAACACACTTATCCTTGCACACACACATTCACACCTTAAGACAATTTAGAGAGACCAATGAATCAATTAATTACTGCAGCGTTTTATCCAAACCTGGGTTTGGATAGTGACCCAGGTTAGTTCCAGCCGGGTGTGGGTCGGCGTAAAGGCCGAGCCGGGCATAGCTTACCCTTCCTGCCAATGCCATGAAGGCCCTCCATGCAACCTGTGGAGGTTGGTTGCCTGGACGTCTTTTCCTCGGGCCTCCATGTTTGTGTGGAGGTCTGGCTTTGCGTGGACTCCTCTCTTTGCAACCTGGATGTGGGTCGGTGCAAAGGCTGAGCCAGGCTATGGATGGAGACCCCTGGATGATTCAAGGTCTCTCTTTCCTTGGACTCCTCCAGTTGCAGGGGTGTCTCTGGTTGGGTGGAGACTCTTGGATGATTGTTTTCCATAGCGAGTTTTAACTTCAGTTTCAGGTCTTCAACCTGACCCTGCAACAATTTCACTGTTTCCTCCTGTTCTACAAATTTAGCAGCTTGCTCAGCATGTCTCTTGAGCTGCTCCTCATATTTCAGTCTCACCCTATATTCTTCAACCATTACTTCTATCAGTCCTTTGTTATGGGAGGCGTGTTTTACAGCCTCCCTCTTGAAGTAATCTAGTTGTTGAAGAAGGCTCTTATTAGCTGTAACTTTGGAAGAGCCTCCTGTAGTTTCTGGCACGTTTCTGTCATGATCTCGTTTGACTTGCTGGTGACGTTCTTTTTCTAACATGCTCTGCAGTCTTTGAATCTCCTGCTGCTGTGATTTCACTTCAGCCTCACATGCAATCCTTCGGTCTCGTTCTTCTTGGAGGTCGAAGGTCTTACTCTGTAACTCCTTTTTAAGCTCGTCGACCTGCTTTGTCAGATCAGTGATGTGTCGGCTTGTCTTGTCCACGACTTCCACTGAGGGGGTGATCTCGAAGCCAGCAGACCGAGTTGTTTTCTGCTTGGCTTCTGAAGATGTTGGATTCTCAAAGTGGCCGGAAGGACTTGATTCCCCCTGGATCTCTGATGGTACATCTTCCGGCTCAATGGGGCTGTCGCTGTCTTCCTCAAAAGGGAAAACGACAGCGTCGTAGTCGACTTGGACGTTAAGGTCCATTATGTCGACCCATGAAAGCTTGGCTGGAAAAGCTTCATGGTTACATGCAATCTGTTGTTGCTTCATGTCGATGAAAGGCGTGCAATATCTACAATAGATATCCCGCTTGTTTCAATGACTTTCGAACGTGCTGTGAAGAGTGATCTGCTGCAGTAGAACTGTGGAACAGGTCTGACAAAACGCTTTCTGTGAGCTACATTCAAGAGAGAGATTCCTTTGTGGTGTCATAGAGTTATGACATCACTGCTAATGTCATTGGTACCATTAGAAAAACATTCTTTTCCTATGGGAATTGATAAGCAACCAGACCTAAAGTTCTGTCATCTGCTGGCCTCGCTTGGAAGTGCACTTCTAAATAAAATTACTGCGACGCTTTTTATCATCTGTTGAAAAAAGCCGAAAAATTCTGATGCTTTTCTTAGAATTCTTAAATTAAATTCTAAAATATATTTTGCTTTTCTCCACAGTAACTCTCATTTTCTTTTTCAGCAGCAAAGACAATCAGGTTTTTTATATATTGATCATCTGGGAAATGCAACAACAAAATAGCTAGTGTGCTCTGGACTTAAGATGGAGTACAAGAAAACCTGGCAGTTACTAAAGAGAGTAAATTATTAAAGGGTCAGTATTATGTAAAATCGATTTTTATGAGCTTTACATCATGTTACAATGTTATTCCAAAATATATCTCCAGTGTTGCCTTGATTCTTTCATATATGTTTGAGAAGTGCTTTAGTCTCCATGACAACCACTCAGCTGTACAAAATGACTGAATGGACTGGACTCCGCCTTGGAGACACAGCTCCTCCTCCACAGCTCCAGTTTCCAAGTTTCTGCCTCACATCCCTCCCCTGCAACTCCCAAACTCAGCTCCTTCAGACTAGCCAGCAGCAATTAGCAAAGAACTGCTGAGCTCATTATACGAGCTACTTCTCAGTGGAATGTTGGTAAAAATGATGTTAAAAGGTTAATAGAGGAGCGACGTTTTGATGACTTATTGAAGGTTTCAGAAAGAGCATGAGCTTTTAAAGAGACACAGGCACAACTTCAACAAGGTCACATTTCTTTTAAGTCATATTTGATATATGCAGCATTTTTGTAGCAACGGAAGGGAACACAGTTACTTGATTGTGCTCTAAGATGATACTTTATGGCTGGGAAAATACATAATACTGGTCCTTTAAGCAACATTTCTCTTTTTCTCTTTCATGAAAGCGTACATCAGAAATCGGTGTTCTCGGCCAAATTTGAACACAAACATGAATTTTCACGTCAGTCCTACTTTGCTCTCAACATACAAACACTTTAAATATACATCTATACATTTAGTGAGAAATAAAAGTTAATTTTTCGTGCAAATATGTGTATATGCATATATATATACTAATCCATCCATCTCGATGTTTTTATTTGATGTTTTTATTCAGCCTCATTGCAAGGCATATTTTTTATTTATTGAATGTGACTGTACATGTTAGAATGGCCCAGTCAAAGTCTAGAACTGCTGTAAATTCAATTGAGGATCTGTGTCATTCTATGAAAACGACAATCCATTTCCATCCTATCTGGCTGGGCTTGTGCTATTCTCACACTTTCTACTAATTCTGCAGTGCATGCAGTAACATATTCTCACTGCATTTCAATCTCAGGTCCCAGAATAAAAACCCTTCAGGACACTATTCATGCCTTTATTTGTGAAAAAAAATTATCCAAAACCACTGTTTGTTTCACCACTTCCCAAACTTGCACTATTTTGTGTTCAGTTTATTCTATAGTTCCAAATAAAACATATTAAGTACATGTGAACGCTCTGCAAGGCTCTGTATGTTTATGCATCACCATGGCAATGCCTTATCTGCATCTGCAGGCATCTACAAGAAATGGGTCACAGCTCACTTCACTGGGTTGCTGCTTTACAGACGATGAGGCTTGAAGGATGAACACTTTCATTTTCCACTGACCGTGATTGGTCTTCCGGGACCTGGTGGCACGTTTTTCAGGTTTTCTTGGTTGCCATAAGACGACCTTTGAAATGTAGCTAGTTCAAACTCATCCAGTAACACCAGGATGGCGCACACCAGCATGTCTTCCAGCAAACGACAGTAACCATCACAAGCTTAATTTTTTTTCCCCTTTCCTAATTCATTGTTCAGTCATTTGTTACTCTACGCTACATAGAAACAAGCTTGAATGAAAACACAGTGACAAGGTGGACAGAAGTACTTTTGTGTAAATATTGTTTCAGTTATCCGTTTCAAATTGAAGACACAATTCATTTAAAATGTTTATCTGTTGAGACAACATCTGAGAATCTCTTGTTTCAAAAAAAAAGAAGATTGGAGGATCGTTTTTACACCTCAACGCCACATCTTTGCCTTTCTGCCTTAACTGTATACACAACATCTACTCCTCGGGGCAATGCTTCGTCCAATCGGCTGTTTTGTAAACACAAAAGTCTATAATGAAAGGCAAGCTTCATTTATTGCTCAGTCCAGGTATAGCAAACATGGAGCGAACGAACAGCATAAGAAGAAAGACCGTAGCGAGACAACATAAGACAGAAGTCATGATTGCGGGAGAACAGCTCAGGTACGGTGGGACGATGGACAGGGGTAGGTTATGTGGGTTTAAGGCTCAGATGAAGTTCAAAACTCATCGACGACTTGAACGTGGATTTCAGGTTGAGGCTTCACGACGGAAAACTGATCAAGGATAGGCGGTACCACCTGCGGACGTATCCCAACTGCTTTGTGGCTCAGGAGCTGATTGACTGGCTGGTGAGTCACAAGGAGGCTTTGGATCGAGCGACGGCCGTTTGTCTCATGCAGCACCTCATGGACCACGACATCGTTCATCACGGTGAGAGAGGTGCAGATCCTGGACACTTTATTGGTGGCAGCCATGCCAACCATATGACCCAAATAGTGGATCAGCAAATCACATGTCAGGCACTTAAAGGGGAATTATTATGTATTTTCTGAGTCCATAGCGTCATTTTATAATGCATTCAATTGACTATGTTACCCTCAGTTGTACAAATGCTGAGTATGTGAAACATGACTGAAAAGAAATGCGACTTGAAATTAGGCCACTGTCTCTTTAAGATGCTTCTACTTTTTCCAACTTCCGACATAAAGACATCGCCACAGTCCTTCTCATTTTGAAGCGCCTTTCACTAAGAATTCATGTGATGAGCTCAGCAGACGTGCAGTTCCACCAGGTGTTTATTAATTGCTGCTGCCGCTAGTCTGGAGGATAGTGGGCCGGAAGCTTGGAAGCTGCAGCTTTGTGGAAATGGGTGGAGTTTTGTGAGAGCAAGCTGTTAGCCAAAACATATGGTTGACATGGGAGATTAAAGGACTATTAAAGAATCAAAGCAACAGTGTTGAGGGAATAACATTATACCATGATATAAAGCTAAAAATGTTCAGTTTCACACAATATCCTCCCTCCCCTTTTAATGCATTCGAGCGTCTGGATATGCTAACCTTCCAACCACGGTTGGGTGAAGAGCGGGAATTTAAGGGACTGCAAACATGAGATGGTTGTTTGGACTTTTGCAGACAGTCATCTTCTGATTTCACTGTGAATAATGTGAAAAGATTAAAACATATAAATATATAAATATCCATGTAGCAGCAGAAGTGTGGACAAAAGCACCATGTTGGTGTCAAAGGTCAGAGGAGGGTGGGAGATTCCAATCATGGATGTTGCAGCAGCAGCACCAAAATATCTGAGGATGTTTCTGACACTTTGTTGAATCTGTATCACAAAGAATCAAGGCAGTCCTGAAGTAGGAAGGGGGTTGACGACAGTAACCCCCTTCCTGTTACTGGCAATGTGCTTGTAATAAAGTCATTTTAGTAGGCTTTGTGTGTGAATACAGTGGATGTCTCTGAAGTGCTTTCTGCTCATGTTAAACTGTGTGCTGCTTTTTCTCCTCAGTCTGTGACAAGAGACCTACATTTAAGGACGCCAAACTGTTGTATCGTTTTCGCAAGGATGACGGCACGTTTCCCTTCAACACTGAGGTGAAAGTCTTCATGCGAGGACAAAGGTTGTATGAAAAGTAAGAACTCGATACAAAAAAAAAGTCTTGTCGACTGAAAATAGCCTGGTCATGTGACTGGGAGGAGAACCGAAGACAATGCAATGCTTTGAGAAAAATTTCAAAGACCCATTATCATTTCTAAATAAAAGTTCTTGAATTTGATTCACGTTGTTGTGGAAAAGTTGGCAAAAGTTTTTGCTGCTGTGTTGCATCACCTTTTTTCCAGCAATTCTCTGCAGATGTTTCTGAGGTAGAAAAAAAAGAGAAGAAGAAGAAGAAATGTTTCTGAAAGCTACATTCAGAGAACACTCTTTCCTGTTACAGTTGGCTGCTTCGTTTGCATGGCACCACAACTCTAAATACAAATCCATGTAGACTTAGCTTTAAAATTCACATTTTATCATGCTTCAGCCTTCTTCCAAATTGTATTAAATCACTAGCAGAACTCCACTGGACACTGGCAGGGAAAACTATGGTAATTGTTTTACAGACATAAACCACATAATCTGCTTGCTGCTCAATCAAATGCATCTTTTTCAGAGTTGTGGCAAAATTAAAAGGGAACAAGCAGGGGTTTTTTTTTGAAGATCTATTTAAAATCACATTTTTTACTGTAATGTGCCTTTGCCAAGGAAGACAAACTGGATGGAAACACATCTAAGGGGACAAATAACTGTGGATTATTGCACAAACCGTATTTCCGTTCTCAAATTTCCAGAATGCGTTCTGAGAGAATTTGTTTCATGATTTCAACCACTGGTTCTTTTCAGCCTCGTCGCCGACAAAAACTCCATCCTGCAGCTGAGGGAGGAGCACGGGGCTTCGTATCAGCGCTCGTTTCCGGGCTGCCAGCTGATTGACTGGCTCCTGCAGAGCGGGGAGGTGGAGAGCAGGCGTCAGGGAGTGGACTTGAGTCGGGCCCTGCAGGAGCACGGCATCATTCAACACGGTGAGCGCAGAGCTCATTTGCACTCGGGTAAAGTAGAGTGGCCACTGGGGACTTTTGGCAATCAAAAGCAAAAACACACACACACACCATTCTTTCTTGAAACACCTTCCAGTGTTATTTAACGCATGCATTCCATTTCCATCACCAGTGACAAAGAAGCATGACTTCTTCGACAGTGGGCTCCTCTATCAGTTTTGCATCAATTTCCGTCGCCGCCGGCGCCTGTCTGAGCTGTTACATGAAAGGGAGCAAGAGAATGACGGGGCTTCCATCCAAGAGGAAAACAATCTCGACAGTCCATTTTGTCGACACAAAGACCCCATCCAGGAGCTCAACAGTGCTTTTCAATCTAGTTAATATCAAATTTTCTGTTTTCTGGTTGGAAAAATCCACTTTGATTTGAATGTTGACTTCTGAATACACTTTCTGTTTTCCTTGCAGTTGGGCCGAATAAAGACATAAAGCAGATCACAGGTGGCCGGAGATCCAGCCTGACTTCCATCCAGCTTCATTCTGGCGGGTTTCAAACACTCGGTCAGCTCTCTTCAAACTCAGTCGTGAGATCCAATCCTAAATCAGGCAGGTGGAACAACTGCATTCAGAGCCCAGATAAATGAAATATGATGCTTTAGAGGTAGGAAACCCAAAAGTCTTACAAACATAGGAAGTTGAAAAACACTAAATCAGTTTCCCTAGTTATTCATAGATAGATAGATAGATAGATAGATAGATAGATAGATAGATAGATAGATAGATAGATAGATAGATAGATAGATAGATAGATAGATAGATAGATAGATATAGATAGATAGATAGATAGATAGATAGATATAGATAGATAGATAGATAGATAGATAGATTATAAGATAAAGATTATTTTTTTCCTAATTTATTTGAAGTAAAGATACATTAAATAATTTCAATTTTTATCCATTTTTGGACTTTTTAAATCTCAAAACTGTGGCACATGTGGCTTTCCGTACACACTTCTTCTTCTGTGACATGTTTACATTTAGCTGAGGCTTGCTTTTACAGTTGCACCTGTGCAGCAGTATCTTCATTTTATTTATGGCTGCTCATCTCCACCGTCCAGCCCGTTTATAGCCGATAAGGACGCGCCTGTTATTCTAATGATAATCTGGTGGAAGTCTTGAAACATCGAAGCCATTAGCATTTATCTGCCTCCACCTGTTATCTAACGGGTGTGTTGCAGTTATTACCTCCAGACATGCAACAGGTCTCTGACAGAAAGTGCAGAGTTTGCTGATACCATCAGATCAGAGGACACAGAGGAGGTGCAGGCAAGGTTTACCTGCAGAATGAAAGGTGAAAGTCATGGTGACATTTTCTTTGGACCCAGAGCGGAGGGACAGTTTAAGGCTCCATATTGTAATAGAGCAGCTTGTTGAACTCAAAGTGTCGCCCAAACCTGTGTGTATTTGGGATGAGGCCACGGGGTTATTTCCATGGTAGGACAACTTGAAGGAAAAATTATAGAAAAGGTCACTACTTTCCTCATGAATGGCCATGGAAAACTTATAAATAATGTAGTATGCCCTCTGGTACACTATAGTGTAGCTCCATATTCTTTTCAACAGGGACTGCTTATGAACCCCTATAATCATCTTTTCTGGCTGTGCAGTTTTAAAAAGACATGTTGCATGTGAGGAGCTACTGGCCCCTGGAGCGCCCTTCATCAAGAAAGTGCTTACGGTGAGTGATTGTATGTGAGAAATCATATTTAGTTCACATATCACACTCATGATTGTAATGCTTGTAACATTGTGATTTTTTTTTTTTTTTTTTTAATCAAAATGCTTCTGGTGTGTGGACCAGAATAGTGGAATAGTTTATGGTGGGGACTAATGGATATTCTTAAAGATCAGTCATTTTTATGAAAAATCTTTTGAAACTGTCACCATGTCTTGGTGACAGAAAAATGTCAGTTGTTTCCGGTTAGCACTGGAAGAAGGCAATCAGAGCCAGGAGGCGGGTCAATCACAATCTCCCTCTCTTGCTCCCTGCTAAGCTGCAGCTAGCAGAGAATGCTAAGGGTTAGTGAATGCTAAGGCCAGTCAGCATGGACACCGATAATGGTGGACAAAGGGTTTTCCTGTAGCAGGCAGTTGTTTTTCTGCCATTAGCTCATTAGGCAACATTAATTGGCAACATTAAGACCCACCCCATGGCTCTGATTGGTTGTTTTTGGTCGGGAGCGGTGCATTTCTTCAGACGGCCATAGCTCAGGGAGGAGTTGGAGGAGATTGATCCTTTCACAGATGATGTGTCTCATATAAAACTGTCGGGACATGTTGATAGTTTCAACAAATATGAAAAAAAAGAGCTGCCTACAAAAGTAGGCCTTAAATGAACTAATTACCCTCAAGTCCGTCCTTGAAAAACAACAATTACAGCTCAGTGCTAACTGCAAATTTGCATTTCCCCCAACTGTGAGATGTGTTTTAATTCACCATAACCCCAGGTGATCGGGGACGCCCTGGGCTGGGGCATTGTGGTCAGAGGCAGGGCTCCCTGCTACGTTCAAGCCGTGGATCCTGGCAGCCCTGCGGCAGCTGCTGGAGTTAAGGTGAGAGAAAGAAATTTGACAAATAAATCAAATGACACAGTGAAACGTTAAGTGTTTAGACAGACGCGACATCCATGAATGTAACCAATCTCCATAGATACGGCAGTTTGTGTGCCAGGTGAATGGCAGGTGTGTTCTTTACCTGGGCTACAAGACGGTGACCAGGCTGGTGATGACTGGGCCTCGTGTCGTTGTGCTAGAGGTCATGGAGGAACTGGAATGAAAATAACGTCTGAACAACAATAATAATAATAAATCTTGAATATGATTGTGAATAAGAAAAAAAAGAAACGGGGTTAGGAGGAGTACAAATACCTCGCTGTTCGTCTGAACAACAGACGGACTGGACTGAAGCCTTCTACCAGAACGGACTGGGCAGAATGTACTTCTTCTGTTCTTCTGACTTTGCAATAAGATGCTGAAGATCATCTATAAATCTGTTTGGGACAGTATAATATCTTCTGCCATCATCTGTTAGGATAACAAGTGACTGGAAAAAAGGCTAAAGCTGAAATAAATAAGGCTGGTTCTGTTCTGGGGACTCCTCTTGAACCTCGAGAGATAATTGTGCAAAGGTTTCTTCATAAAATAAAATACATTATGGACAACCATGAGCATCCTCTTCATGACATTGTCATACAATAAAAGTGTCTTCAGTCAGAGGACTCTTCATTTTGGTGTAACAGACTGCTACAGGATATCCTTCCTGCTCAAAGCCATCAGCATTTACAACTCTTTGAAGTAGGCTTGCCACCCGTCCTGTAAAATACAGAATCGATCCGTATTGAACCAATACGAGATGCAATTTGTTCCATATTTCTATAAATCTCTGATACGCACACCTATCACACACATATCAACAATAAATATAACAATAATGACCAAAATAAAACACAGAATATAAGGTCAGCTAAACTGTCATGGCTGGAGCGACACAGAACCCGCCAGAACGTAGCACAAACGGCGCTGGTAGCACGGTAGCAACCCATGTTTTTTTTTTTTTTTAAAACCTCCACCCGATGCGCCACCGTGTCCTTAGAAGCAAGAACTCTTGCAACATTACAGACGTTAGAGGAAAGGCACCTTCCAGGGAGACCAATGTCAGTGGGGATGAATACAGACATTGTTTTTAAAAATGTGATATTCGGTTGCGCAGTGTGCTGCTCTATGGTTTCAGACAGAATGGATCAGGGGAAGAACACTGCAGAACCACCAGAACCAGACATCAGCGTCTCATGAGGCCAACATGGTGCGGAACATTTTGCTATAATTTATGAAGTTTCTTATTGTGCTTTTAGTAGACTGCCAAGGCTTGATTATGATTCTTAAGATGTTGAGTTTGGGTGATACGTTTGTTCATATAGAATAGTATTAGCTAAAATGATATAAACGACAATTTAAAAAACAAATCACACTAGTAGATTAATAGCAAATGAATAAATATTGTGAAGAGAAATAGTTTATTTATCCTACATTAAAAATTTTGTTTGGTTTGTCTGTGTAGGAAAAATTTTGATATCTTGTGGTCAATATCATTTCACTATTATTTTATTAATGTGGGTTCCCAGTTTGTATAACCTGACTATGAAGATATGAGAAGGAAGTAAAGACTTGCTGACCAATGCATCAGGCACAGATCAGCACTGCATGTAAGTTCCTGGACAGGCACTGATTCAAGTGGCTCTTTGGTTCACTTATATATTAGTTGATGAAATATTGACCTTGATTTTTTTTTCATTCTGTTTTTAGTGCTCCACATGAAAAAAAACAAAACACCAACTACCCTGGCCCCTGGTAAATCTGGTCTAGACTCTGAACCCAACTCCATATTGTATAAATGTTTTTGGTATTGGTCTTTAAAATACCAGAACTTGCACAGAACTGACTTCTGGCTGTTTGAGATTAATTTACAAATATTAAATGACGTGGTATGATCAGTTAATCAGTACTTTATTTAATTGTTTATTTATTTTTACCAAATGCCTTTTGCACCTGTTTAATTAAAGCTTAATATACTCTGCTTAACATGTTGAAGTTGTACTCCTCTGATTGGAGTGGTATGACCTCTGTGATGATTGCACTACTGATACTTTATATTCACAGAAAGCCATAAAGTGAAGTGCACCACCAAACCGAGGTGGGCATCCATTATTTTCATTTCTGAAACGTGGAAACCCTACTTTGAAGACAATATGGGTTTATAATTGATTTGAATAATAATGTTTTTCTCAAAGTCTACAAAAACACAGTCATTGTGCACATTGGACTGACATTTAAACTGCGAAGCTGTTAATCAAAATCACTGGGGCATTTCACGCCATGAATAAAACCACATCAAACAGCCTCTTCTCAACGCTGAAATGCCACTTCCGTCTTTTCCTGGTCGCCATTTTGGATTTTATGTAAAGGACTTGAAATACAGAACGTTGCTAACAGGCTAGCTTCGGGACTGAGACGAGCTAAAAAGATAGAAAAGGGGAATTTTGGGCCTCGGGTACGTGCGTAATGTGCTGTACTATTAAAAGGATCACTGTCATATTTAGCGCGTTGTCTAAGCCGCTTGTTGCTGCAGATGCGGCAGCTAACTAGATAGCTAGCGTTTAGCCAGTTAACAGGGACGGAGCTAACGGCGTTAGCATTTTGGCGTCAGAACAGAGTCAGAACATCACCAGTCCCGATTCACGGAGTTTGCTTCTTTGTTACCAATTTATGTCAGCGAGGCGAACTGTACAGCCCGGAGACACGTTGTGAGGTAAGTCACCCTCCCTTTTCATATGACCACAATATTATAAAAAAGTCTGGTTAAATGACCCCAGTTTTTAGCTGTGGACCATGCTGCAAGAAGCAACCAGCAGCGCTAACGGAGCAAAGCTAACGCCATTTAGCGGGTTTCAGAGTAAAAAGCATCATTGGGCCCATCTGATGAGGTGATCTCTCATGCATGTGGTCAGTCAGTTTGTAGCATATTCACAGCAACAAATGCAGCATTGAGAAGCCATCGCCTGAAATGAGTTAAGGGGCGCATGTCAAATTTGTCCGGTTTAGTCGTTGCAGTGATTGTTAATACGCGTTTAAAAGTTTTTGCAATTCAAAGTGTCTGTTGTGAGCTGTCTGAAATCAAAGGCTGCATCAGGGATTTATGTTTTCTTCAAAAGTGCAACACTGCTGTATTATCCTGCAGGGTAGCACTAGCCAAGGAGAATCCCTGCAGACGCACTTTAACCAGCTTCAAGGACTCTTAATATTCCTCTTTTCTCCCAGGAGCCATGTACCAGCTCCCTGTGAATAATCTGACGAGAATCCGGAAAGCTAGAAAACAAGTGAAGAAAAACCTAGAAGACATAGGACTAGAGCTCTGCAAGGAGGTCGCAGAGGTGAGTGGGGGTTTTTAGTTGTTGTTGCATGGTATATGTCTACGTTTTTTTTATACCACTTTAATAAATGGTATGAGAATGTCGACTGGAGTTCAGCTCGGCTGTCTGTCATAATTAGAGTACACACAACGAGAACAGAATTGCAGCATATTATGAAAAACAATAATGGCTGGCAGTCCAGCGTGCTTCTGCAACACAGGACGGTCGGTGGGTTTGAAAGTTAGCTTTTTATTTTTTTACCTCTGAATGGCCCCAAACAGCATATCTTGACAAGCGCTGTCTTCTTCAGGTCCATGTCAACAGATTCAAATATTATCAAAGTTTATGTTTTTTAAAAACTAAGACTTGCATTTTGTCAGAATTACAAACTGACCGCTTTGTTTCCAGCGCATATTTTTGGTAACGTTCTTAAGAACAGCTTAGCACTTAACACAGACTAGCTTTCTGCATTGAAATATTATTTAACAGTGAGACAGATTTTTTCATACATAAAGATTATGCTATGTTAAGGCCAATATTATGTTCTGTTAATAATTTGTAGACAGTCATTTAAACCTTCTACATGAGGGTGAGGCGCAAATAAATATCGCTAAAGAAGCTGTATCCTAATTATATTAATAGAAAGTTGAGTGGAAGAAAAAACTCCGGTAGGAAAGAAGTGCACAAAGATAGGGATGACTGCAGCCCTGCAGATTGTGAAGAAAACAACACTCAAATGTTTAAGGGAACTGTGTGAACCAGGAGTCCCAACACAGATTTATTCTGGACATGGACTCCAATTTTCTAATGTCTTGTGGCAAACAACCTCTGGGACAGAGACGAAGTTAGGAATATTTTGCCTCAACTCAGGAGAAAGAGGTCTGCACTGCTGCTCAGAGATGGAAAGTAATGTTTTTTTGCTTTAAAGTAAATTTTATATGAAATTTCCACATTAAGGTCCACTCTGATTGGAGTGGTATAACCTCTGTAATGATTGCACTATTGGTCATTACAGATTTTAATTTCCGTAATGTGGAAATTAAAGTCTATGGGGAGAGTGGGGAGGCATGTAGCGGAAGATTTCATGAACATTGTGTCACTGTGCCTGATTGGTTAGCAAGCTGACCTATTTTAGAGCATCATTGAGGCTGTGAAGTAGATTTTTCTTCAAAGAGAAAATCTTTTATTTGCATCATACAGTAACATAGTCAAGATGTTTTTTCGTGCAGCTGCAGAGGGTGTACAAACTAATTGAACAAGATTTGTCTGTTGAAGTTTCCCAGACGGGTTATTTGGGAACTTGCTGTTTTTCCCATGGCCTTCCCTGCATGGAGATAGAGTGTTGAGTTTTCACATCCCGTAGACATGATAGTGAATGAGTGTATAAGGTTCAACTGTTCTGTCTGTTTTCCTTTGTTTCTTTTGTTTGGTCTAAGAAGATTGAGTCTCCACCTCTGTTAGCAGAGAGAGGTGAATAAAGCAACTGTGCAACTCTGAGTTCGTCAGAGCAGAATGATTTTCGCCTAATGTGTGTATTTTTGCTCTGCAGATGTATTAAAAATTGTTTTTGCTCCCTGACTTTTGTCTGGACCTCAGTCTCTGAATTATGTACTTCACAAGGCACAGATGAGCAATGTAGATCATAGTCATTTAAATTGACAGAACTAAAACCTTGAAATGAAACACTTTTTGTGTAATACATTTTTGTAAATCATTTTTGTATTTAATTACTGAAACATTTTTGGATTTTTAAATTTCATTTAGCAACCTTCTGAATCTTATTTTCCTATTTTCACATACTTTTGAGCATAATCGGTCTTGTAACAAAAGCTTTTTGGAGCTAAGTTAGACTCTTCAGAGAAATCGAGGCCTTCGATAATGCATAATTAATTTGGTATCAACACTGCCGATCAAAACTGGGACCCGAGTAAAGAATATAAAACTCTCACCAGGGTCCAATCTGTCTTTTATATTTTAAGAATGTATAAATTTGACTTTATGTTTACTTAATTATGCTTAGTTGTCTTCTTAATTGTCTCGTTAACTCTACAGGAGTTTAAGGAGTTTTGCCCAGATGAGCAAACTGTAAAGGAGACTGCAGGCTATGACATCTGCACGTGGGATCCGTCTCACTCTAAAACGCAGGTAAATTCTCTTCCGGCTCGAACTTTTATGAATAAATTACCTCATTTTCTAAGAC